CCGCGGATAGATATCACAGAATGTCAGTAAGTGGGGGGGGGGGGGGGGGGGTTGGTGGCGTTCAGTTGAGCGGATTATAACCGTCTGGCCGATTTACTGTATTATTCCTGTAATTCTTTTCTCCACAGACGTGTAATGTTTAAATGACACTGAATATTTGAAGCATTCCCCATCCTGTAGTGGTACTACATGGCAGCACTTATTTATTTCTAAAAGGGGCCCAAAACATCAGTTGTTTCTTTTAATTATTTTTCGTAGCCATAATATAGCCATGGGACCAATATACATAATTATATGTCTAGGGCTGCCGAGGATTGTTTTCAGTATTGATTCATGTTGCAATTAATCATTCGGTCTACAGAATGTCAGTAAATACAGAAAACAGACCATCACAGTTTGACTTCTTAAAATGTCTTGTTTTACCCAACAATTAGTCCAAAACGGTAGTCTGCGTATGAAGAGCCAAAGATATTTAGATTACTATTGTAAAAGGCTGGAAAACCAGAAAATATCACATTTTAGGAGCTAGAACCAGTATTTTTTTATTTTTCACATTTTGCTTGAAAATGTATTAAACAGATTAATCAGTTATCAAAGTAGTTGCAGATTTGTTTTCTGTTGATCGACTGATCGATTAATCTCGTGTCATTTTCCAAACAAAGTGCACAGCGTTGAGCGAAATGCCAACATGCTCACAATGATAACATGTCGATGTTCGGCTGGTGTAATGTTATCACACCATGTTAACCATCTTAGTTTAGTGTGTTATAACATTGCAAATAAGCACTAAACACAAAGTACAGCTGAGGCAGATGAGAATCTCTTAAGGTTTGCAGGTTGTAAAGCATTAGACAAATAAACATATTGCCCTGATGGAGGTGAGAGGATCACCAAAGTTATAATGATACATCCTTGGGTGAGCATGAATGTCTGTACAAAATCCCATGGAAACCAATTCAGTAGCTATTGGGATGTTTCAGTCTGTGACCGACAGATATTGCCATTCACAGTCACACCGCTAGCACGGCTAGACAGCCGAGAGATTCCAATTCAAACATAGTACAAACAATGGAACGCGTAGCATCAGCAGCAAAATGGGATTCCAGATGGACTTCCCTTCCCACCGTGCTGGTCTGGTCCTCTTGCCTGGTTAAGACAGACACAACTCTCTCTGCAACACAAACTTCTTTGCTTCCAAGATTATAACAAGCTGTGATTCGGGCCTCTTACATGTGAAGTGTTTTTTTGAAATTTCTTTTCAGCATTAGTCTGCATCTTCTTTGTTTTTAGTTTTTATATCACACAAAAACTGCAGGATATCCTCTCAGGGCGGCCTCCCTTCCTGTCAGCCTACAACTCAGCCTCGAAGCGCGACATGAAACAGGATATTCCATTACACACAAGCCTTTTTTTAAAAGGCAGACGTCAAAGTGAAGATCAAAACTTTGATTTGTTGGGGAGGGGAGGTATTTGCAAAGGCTCTGCCTGCAGGGAATGGACCCATGTCATCACTGTGTGGTTTGGTGGTGAAATGGCCACAGTGGCTTTGATGCTTTGGATAAGTCCTTTCAGCTTGTGCAGATAATTCCATTCGGCTGCTGTCTCGATGTGCAAGACAAGGACAGGACGCCCACTCCCGCCCGCCTGGGTTACAGGCTGCATCTTGCCAGCCGCCCCCCCCTGATGTGCCCAACAACATAAGCGATGTCGCACCTTCGCCCACACTACACACACACACACACACACACACACACACAAACACACACACACTTGCATCACGCCAAACCATCACACGCACACGCTGCCTTCCTCGCCGGGGCTAATAACAGTAATAGCACTGGCGTAAATAGTCTTGGAGGGGTGCTATTCTGCAGTTCGATGCTTGCGTTTTTCCTGACTGTCACACTGAAACCCACCCTGCAGACAGCTGCGGCGGCTATTTCGGAGATCCTTGGAATCCTTTAATTTGCGTTCTCAATATACACACAGCAGGGGAAGATGGATGTCAGAGATCTATTTGTTTCCAATGTTTTTTTTATGAAATGTTATAAATACAGTTTCCAGAGCCAGTATCTTTCTATCATTATCTGGTCTGCTCATGTTTCCTGCATGCAGGAAGTGATGATGACTCCCTCTTAATGCCGTGCATGTCCAGAGATAATGGCTGGATGTTTCACTCACAAGATGAGGTCGCGCATCGGCGGCTGCCTCACTCTCTCTCTGACTCTGCCTCTCTCTCCGTCCCGCTTATCCCACAGGCTCCCTGACAGACGGACGCAAGTTTGACTCGTCCCGCGACAGGGACAAGCCTTTCAGGTTCAAGATCGGCAAGCAGGAAGTGATCCGAGGCTGGGAAGAGGGTGTAGTGCAGGTAGGCCAGAGAACTGAACGCAGACCGCACATATCAATTATGCACTTCCATTTAAGCTTTGAGTCTTAACATGTCAGTCACTAAGCAGCTTCAACAGTCACAATTCAGAGGCAAAAAGCAATTCTGATTGCAAGAGAAGAAAACGCATTTTGCTGTTTGTTCAACTGCTGATATACATTCATTTGTTGACATAGTTCCATTATCGAGTTTTCCCCCCACAAAGGTTTCCATTAACGCAGCAAACGGTGGGTCAATACAGAACGGGACGCAGCGCTTTATCTCACACACTGAGCCCTGCAGCATTTTGACGAGGTGGCTAATGATTGGTCCTGTAGCTTCATGGAAGTGTGGCTTCATGTTCTCCGCGTACTGTGTATATGGGTTAGAACGCCTTTAATATCTCACTAAGGCATCTGCTTAAAAATGACAGTTGCAACATCAAATATTGTGCAATAAAGAGTGGAGGAGTAGATCACTTTCACTGTGCCCCGTGGTTTATTATCCAACTTCGACCTCCATAGACTGACTTTTGATCGGATTAACTGTAGCTTATGTTGTTCTCTCTCCTCTGTTCTTGTCGCCTGTCTCCTCGTACCTCCAGATGAGTGTTGGTCAAAGGGCCCAGCTGACCTGCTCACCCGACTTTGCTTATGGAAACAAAGGCCACCCGGGCATCATTCCTCCCAACGCCACCCTCATCTTTGACGTTGAGCTGCTGGGTTTGGAATGAAACAAACTCACGGCCTGTTTTTTAATTTTAATTTTAATTTTTTAGTTCTGTGTAAGTATTCTGCCACAAATTACAACTGGTTTTACAACTGTTAGCGACAAATCACATTCTTCCTGTGGCACGGTGAAAGTCATTAACATGCTAGTGCTAATCACAATAGCTCACAAAAGTTTTTTTTTCATTTCCTCTATTTCAATAAGTCACAATGCTAACATGTTCATGTAGTGTAAATGTTGAGATGAATCAGCTACATTTGTGTAGAGGGCTAAGCTTAACAACCTACATTGGGTGTTTCTGCGCTAGGTAGGTTGTTTAGCTCAGCACTCTACACAACTGTAGCTAATTCATCAAAATAACTAGCTAAGTTACATTAGTGGCATTTATAGTGCACTCATCAACCACTACACCTACACTACTAACTATATAGCAAGAGAAATCACACAATATACAGATGTGTTACTGAAGAGGGAATAAGCTCTCCGAGCTAGCTAGCTTGCTAACTATCAGTTAGCAAGCTAGCTAACTCAGTTGCTAAGGAGGACAACAAGTTTACACAACTGTATGGAAACCATTCCTCTTTTGTGAAACAGTTTACACTGATGAGCTTAGGGTAATAATAATAATAATGAATATTGAATATTGAAATAAATGTCTGTCACTATCTTTTGCCGAATGGGGTAACACAATAGTTAGTGAGCCTGTTGCACACTGATTAAAGCCATTGCATTTGCAGAATTACAAGCTCTCTTGCGACATTCCTACGGAAAATTACAAGCGGTGCTCTCTGGGAAGTGAGATCCCAAAACACACCAGAAATGACTGCTAAATTGCCATAGGTGCCCCAAATAAGAACCAAACAAAAATCTTTCAGATTGTAACTTTATATAAAATTGGGTGGTGCAATGCAGCGAATAGCTACGATAGCTTTCCTCATTTTTGTCTCTTTCTCTGTTACCTTTTTTATCAAATTGTATACCTCTTATCTTTTAAGCAGCGAATGGTGTCCCTGGTTTTCACTACACAAAGAAAATCAACTGGCAGAGACTTGTATAGAGTGGTAATCCATGACACCAAATGTTTCATTGGCTATTCTTCAAGCAGAGGCCATTTGAGAACTGTCCTTGGTGGTGCATCGAATGAAAGTTTAAACAACTGAGATCTGCGAGTAAGCTGTTGAAATACACTTTATTCATGAGCCGCGCTGTTGGAAAAATCCAATCCACAAGACCAAAATTGAATAGATATGGACAAAATTAATGAAGATGTTTCTAGCATTAGAAATGATGCCATTTGGCCGATGTCTTTGAGCGGTCAGCGGTCGAGACGAGCTTTGTGCTAATGTTAGATCTGCCTCAAACTGATCTAGTGTCAGTGTGTTGTCAACCGAAGCATGTAGTGTGGTTTTACATCTGTAACGTTATTAGTTCAGGCACACTGTCATTTGTGCTCTAATCCTAAATGTCCCCTCTTGTTGTCTTCACAGGTGACTTCCTACCTGGGTAACCCGGAGAGAAGCTAGGAGAGTCTGCACTTGATTCTATACGAGGCTTGAGTCTATAGTTCCACTACTTATTTCATAAAACTACAGACAGTTTATGTCATTTTGTCTCTGTGACTGAGTGAATTCTATTTTCCATCATATCCTTCCTACATAAGAAACATGGGCCACCTTACAAACCTCCAAGTCTTGAATTCTTTCGAATATTCATTTTCTTAATGTTTTTTCCAAGTGTTGGTCTTGCATGGTTACGCTGAGAAGTACAAAAACACCAAATAACCTCTAGTGGCGACATTCATCTCTCACAAAGTCGACGCGCGCTAGCATAACTGTGTTCGAGAGCTGGCGCTTTGTCGTATTACAGGAACGGAAAAAAAGTGTACAAAAATAAAAGGAAAAGCACACATTTGTATCCCTATCCAGAAAATCAGAACAAATGGAATGAGTTTCTGTTAGAGAGAGATGAATGTTGAGTTCAGTGGCTGCCTGTAGTGAAGCGTCAGGTCATGGGAGGCCTTCATGGTGCAACACAGAAACTGAGTTTGCTACATGAAATGGCCGTTTGAAGTGTGAGCTAGAGAGGCGTAATTGCTGTAAAGGCGAACCAATCGCAGTTGTAGATTGTTCTGTGTGCCTACATCTCTTCACCAGACACATGGTTACTACCTTGACCCCTCTGCATGTTCAAGGCCCGACCGGAAACCCTAGTAGTATGTACACGTTGAAAGCTTTGCATTCGATTTGCGTTGTTATTGCCTTCTTATATCGCCAAGTCTTTAAACCCCATTTAAAGCCATACACAGGTCGAACAGTGCAAGGACAGGATTTGCGTTGACGCACATCAATTGGATTATTCTTTTTCTTAGTAAAAATAAAAATAAATAAATGGGAAATGCTTGAAATTGACAGGGGGTTGAGGAGACAATAAAATTGTGACCTCCCCCGTTATTTTGTGTAACAACTTCAATCATGTATTTTTCAGATGCCAACTTTCTATCTCTGAGAAACAACAAAGCTAATGTACTGTATAACGATCTATATGATGATAGATATTGTTTTTCCTTTTAGTTTTTTTGTCCCCAGTGTCAGTGAAGTACCACACTGCCTAACTGAAGAATCAGTGTTGTGGTAGATAAAGAAGCTGACACATGGGCATCCTAGTGGTTTTGTATTTCAAATAAATAGTTTTAAATGGAGTTTAATGAAGGAATATGCTGGCCTGGCTGTCAGATATTGACCGTGGCTGTCGATGTTACATATTGGCCAAGCTGCAGGTGGTGCGGCAGCAGTCCACCTCTGTACTGTGTAGTTATTTGCTGATACGTTACTGTATGCAGACTAAACCAATGATGACATATTTAAAATAAAATAAGTGCTCTCCACTTGCATTTTGTTTTTATTTTTGTTTTTCTGTTTGTTTTTAAATAATATTTTATTATTTTCTTTTTCCACAGCAACAAAGCAACACAGCGCAGATATCGGCAAATTGCAAAACAGGAATAAACTAAATAGTTAACATACATGGATGGCATTAACATGCATATGGATTGCATTATACATATTTGTACACACCCCAAAAAAACAAAACAAAAAACAGCAGTAGGCCAACAACATCCCCAGGAAGATCATTTGATTACCCTTTAAAGTCAGCCGTCTGAGAATTGAGCCTGGAAAAACTGAGCTAAGCTCCGAGCAATGCTTTTTCTTACAATTAAGTAAATAATCTAAGTACCTCTTCCTCCGCTGCTAATTGAAAGCCATAGATCTGCTGCTGTGCCAACTCAAAGGGCCCCCAGAAGGTCGGATTTGCAGCCGTGCTCCTTGCACCACAACAGTTTGACTCTGCATATCCTTGGCAACAACCATCTTCAAGGTTAAAAACACATTTTTGAGTGGTTTACAAAACACTAAACAGTCATTGTTGTTTTTTCTTTCAACATGAATGAAAGCATATTGCTTAAAAGGGGCTCCAATTTCACACATGCAGGTCAGCTTACTAGTCATGAGGATACTCAGTCCGTGAAAACAGTTAGGTAATGTCTTCTGTGGCTCTGAGGGAGCTTTGCCAAGTCTCAGGAAATAACACCGATGATGCCATTAGCCATTGGCTGCATTATGGGGAATGCAGTATCCAGTATTTTTTGCTTACGTACTAAAAGTCAGGATATATAGGCTTGTGTGGCACCCTTGTGTGAGTCCCCCAAACTTTATGGAAGTTCAATACTGAATCACTGCACTGCCCCTTTAAAATGAAAACCCAAGTTATTTGGTTTTTAATAAGTAACTTTAAATCCGGAGATTTCTGTTCAAACAAATGATCAAAGGGTTTAAAAAGTCCAAATAAGCCACACTGGAAAGGTTCCACCGTAGGCTGCATGATTTCCATAATGAAAAAAGGACAGATTTGAATTCTGTACTGTCATTACTTATACAATTGGTAGCTCTAAGTCAGTGCCCTTTTATACCTTAGAAAGAAAACTCTGTGATAAATAAAACGAAATGGTGCTCTGATCTTGGCTTCTCCATGGGATCATATTTAATTTATGCTGCCGGAGTATAGGGTTTAAAGGAGGTTCTCTGATAGTAATTCTATCCAAACAATACAATCATTTGGTTGATGAATGGTGCTACACATTTTCCCCGCTATGACTTGCATTTTATTTAAACTGTTATCCAGGCTAAAAATATAGTCAAACAAAAATAAGGGACAATGGAAGAAGGGATACCTGAGATAAGATTTTTGAGGATTATCTTGGTTGTGGATGCTGTCTTGTGTCCTTGTGTCTTGTAAAGCCAGATGGGCTGGGTGTTATATGGTGGACACTGAAATCAATCAATGAAGGAGTTGATTAGGATCCATACTTCTCTGGGAAAAAAGTCCTAGTTTTGTCAGGCAGTCAGAAAAATACAGTAAAAGAAACTATTCCCGGGGAACAGGTTTTATCATAAGGGCCTTACATTTGGTTTGGGATAATCAGCTGTGTTATAGATCCGGACCGGTCTAACGTGCCATTACTTTAACCCGGCCCCTGGCAGAGTACAACAACAGAAGACACAGAATAGGCTCAATATGCCATCTGTGTTAGGCATGTCATGGTGATTATCACACGGAATGTTTCTCGTAAAACACAGTCAAGGCGAGTCGAAAAGTGTGTGTGACCGATACGGGGCGTGGCTTAAAACGTCAACATTGATTGACGTGGTTTGCAAGATCAGGAAGCCATCAGTGACATCACTTTCCAGAATTCCCCTTCAGCACGACGAAGAAGAAAGAAACATAAACACAAAGGAGTTTGCTGCTGTCGGAGATTCAGAAGCTGTTGTTTGCACTAACTTTACGAGCAAGAAATTAAAGGTGAGACTGTTTCTTCCAAACCGTTGTACCAACCCTTCCTTAGCGGTAACGGTGTCGTTTACCTAACAAGCTAACGATGCAGCTAACGCTAGCACTTTGCTTCCTTGCTGTTTATGTCGGAACAAAGACTTAGCTAAAGGGTACTAGTTTTGTCTTCGTTGTTATATCTCAATGTGTTCCAATGTCAACTAGCGTTGACTAGCTTCTAGAAACGTCTGTCTGCTTAAGCCAGCTAACAGCGGCTGGTTAATTGTTAATGGCTGTGCAGTGAGGCGTTAGCGTCGATTAACAACGTTCAATTATGTTACATAGTCACATGATTGAGACACGCCACTAACTTATCTAAAAAAGTTATATAAGACGTTTACCTCAATATTAGAATATGAAGCAAACGCAATTATTTTTATTGTGCTATTAAGCCCTGCGTATTATCTCTGAGCCTGTGTTGTTTTAGCGTTAGTACGGTAAGTTAGCTGCCTTATTTGTAAAGAATATAACGGTGTGTATGTAACGTCTGACCTCGTGCAATACAATGTGGCCCATTTTAGGGGTCCAGTAGAAAGGGCGTGGGTCAGTTCAGAGCAGGACAGACGTCTGCTCCGTTTTTACCGTTGTCTGTCCTCCCTCCCTCTCTCTCTGTCTCCCTCCCAGCGTTGTCAATAGACCGGAATAAGCTGCCAAGAAGACTACATTCTTCTATCTAACCAATTCGTTCAGGCTTGCTGAAGTTAGCCCTCTTTCCTTTCTCGGTTTCACTAAAGCTTTTTCCTTCGCTAGCTAACATTGATGGGAAGCCACTTTCTGAGATACTCGCCAAGCTTTTTACCCCCATTTATCTCTGCCTGTTTATATACAAATGTAAGAAATGTCCTTTTACATTTCCAAGAAAGTCACATGTCCACTTCATGTGAACTGCTGCAGAAGTGACTCAAGGATTAGGTTATGTCATTGCAAAAGCGCCCCAAACTAATTTTTTCCAGGCTTATTCACATACACCTCCAGCCTGCTAGTCTGAATGAGGGAGGGATATGAAGAGAGCAAACAAACTAACAAACACAGCTCTAAAATAAACACTGGGAGGTATTAAAATGCTCCTCTGTGTCCCCTTGCACAATGATGCTCTTGTCTGCGAGGACTGAGAATAACAGAGTAGAGTAGTAGCTGGAGTAGCCGGGAGAGTGGCAGTAACGTGATTGTGGTCAGAATGATTTGCTTATTTTAGGGACTCAAGCTTTTTTTTTTCCTTCTGCTCACTGTTGATCGGTCAACCACATATCCTACCACTGTGTGCACATGACATATCAATGTGGACTTTTTTTCTGTGATGGGTTATTTTGGAGCGGTAAGGTTGGTGTATTTGCTCTTTGTGGAACTCATACGTGATGAGGTCAATCGATACAAAGGGAAGTGAGTCAGATCTTTTGACCTGACCTGACATGACATTTCATATTGCCGTCTTTTTTTTGTCTGTCATCAGGTAGTTGGCTTTTTGTAGTCCGTTAGGAGGCTGGTCATGAATCACGATGTCTGTATTTTTTAATTTTTTATTATACGGTCATCCTCCTCGCTTTATTTCCCTTTCCTTCTATTGAGTAAGAGTTTATGTCTTGTGATTGTGAGTCAGCGACACACTGTTGTCACACTGCGTTTGTGACTGGCAAACCTGAAGTGCAATCATTTAGCTTTTTAAGATCATTGTGCCTCTGTTTTAAGGAATCCAATACATGGGATTGGTATCAGCTAATAATGACTTTATGTAGGTTATTTTGTATTGGCCATGACATCACCAATCCACATTGAATACACCGTCTTTGTAATTTTTGAATTCAGTGTTTCCCTCTATCAGCTCATTCATTCCGACATAGCAGGTCACCAACTCAGTCTGACCGCACGTTACCTTATGTTAAAATAAGTTCCATGCAGTGAGGTATACAGATTTTGAATTCAAGTCCAAATAACTTTATTTGAGTCTGAGTCATTTCAAGAAGGTAAGACCAACAAAGAGTGGGGTGGAGTTATCAAGAAAGGGAGACAGGAATATTTATTATAATGTGCTCAGTATTAGAATATACCCCGAGTTGAGCTATTGGAATTGGCAGTAAGTCATTTTTTTCAAGCAAAAAAGTACAGGTTCTAGCTTGAGTCAAACACGGGATGTTTATAATTGAATTGTATGCAGCGTAGAGCTCCAGTATTCTTAGTATTAACACTAGATGTAATCCGTTTGCTTTAGAAGCAGCAACTACTTTCTTTTTTTGTCTTCCAAATAACTACACTGTGGCACTGAGAAGTGCATGTCAAGCATTCTCTGCTGTGGTTTGTGCTACTGCATCCTGAGCAGAACATCTGGCTCTCCTCGACCTGCTACATTTTTGCTTTTATTTCATCCGTCAGTCACATATGTCACCTGTGTGGCAGGTAAGCAGCGTTTAGTTTGGGTTTGTCACTCCAGAAAACCAAAACAATGAACAGGATGCTGCTGAAAGTTGCATACAGCAGCAGAGTTGTTTTTTCTCATCGGCACCACATAGCAACCCTTTCACATTACAGAGACATTTTATTCAATGTTAACATGTAGTGTAGCTTATTGGAGTTTAAAGGTAGTGTGAGGTTATCCCAGTCCGCAGTGTGGTGAGGCTTATCTGGCTGCACTCAGACAGCTATGCCATCCTCCCTTTCTCAAGGTCCTCCACTCACAGCTCTGTGTGTTTCCCCCTCAGATGTCCCTGTATCCATCCCTCGAGGACCTCAAGGTCGACAAGGTTATAAAGGTAAGTGTGTCTGGGTGAATCGATGAAGACGGAGACCTATCTGGAGATGACCATCTCTGTAGTGTGTAGTGGTCTAACCCAATTTTTATTTGGCATGATGACGCATTAGCTTGAATAGCTTCCTGATTGTATGTTCAGTAAGCAAATATGATTCTAGCCGGTAAAGCTGAGAAAATGTAGTACATAGAAAAATCGGCGAGGGGTTAAAAATGCACACAGATTTGTGTAAAGTCAAACATTTGAGAGAATGACTAGTATTAAAGGGGCACAGTAGCGATTTTACACATTACACATGACAAAGTTTAATCGTCACAAGGAGTATCACACAGCCTCTGAAACGGTTGCATAATGTCTTCTGTGGCTCTGGAGCTTTCTCAAATTTCAGACAGAAAGCCTGCTGGTGATGTGGGTGGGGGGGGGATCTAATAAATGATTTCATGCAGTAGCATTATGAGAAATGTAGGATCCAGTGTTTTTTGATGCTTGATCAATGGAAGGGACCAAACGTCCGGATGTCTCAAGACAAGAGGCCTCTGCTTAAGTCCCCCAACTTAATTGAAGTCAGTAGAAAGTCAGATCAAAATAAATCGTATATCAAATAAATCCCAGATAACTTTTAACATTGAAAAATGTCTTTATTGCCTTTAATCTCTAGTACATTGTTGTGGAGGAAGAAGTATTCTAGCAATCTGATTGCTGATATTTGTATTGCTGTGACCCACAGTAAAGTGTTCGAGGTACACTCGACTCACGCATGCTTAAAGCCATTCCTTCAGGGCTTAAGACTTCATTCTTTTAAAGGACATGCATTTCTAATGAAGATGAATGTTTCCTTAACAACCCTTCAATCATTTTTCTCTTTTTTTCTTCTCATTTGTGTTTCCCTGCCTTTCATCCAGTGTTTACCTTTTCATGTCCACGTACACTTCCACTTGACTGGTGTGTCTGATTACTTTCTAGGCCCAGGCTCAGTTTGCCCAGACTGCCACCCCCATGCCAGCCATCACTGAGGGAACCTACCAGCCTCAGCTTGCCACCGCTGGGATGCCAGGATCAAGTGAGTCTCACATATGCTGTTGAAAGTTGTCAGACTAGTTTATCCCTCCATTGTGTTACTAACTTCAAACTCAAGAAAATCAGTAATCTAATTTCCTATGTCGCAACAAAGACGCCGTCACCAGTATCTGCTATTCATTTTACCTTGTTATTCTGTCTCTTGTTTCTTATGCTGGCTGTTTGTTGATGTCTGTGCTATTGGTTGGAGAAGAACAGCTCTGTAGTATTAGCAATGGATAAAGATGACTGGGGTGGGAGGAGGACTTGTGGGGTCTTTGGACAATAACATGAGTGAATGGGTCCCCCACAGCGGCTATGATTTCTCTCTCTTTCCCCTCTGTGTTTGTGACTCTTTGTTTCTCTCCCATTGTATTCTGCTCGGGGAGGAAATGTTTTTTTTCTGAGTTTGTATGAAAGTAGACATGAACTTTGCAGTAAGCCTGGCTGAGATGGAAGAAGAGAAAGAAGATTAAAAGATGGGCAAGGGGCCCTGTTAGAGATTACAGAACACAACTCTTCTACTTATTTTGACTCACTTCTCCCCCTGTTCCCATTCTCCCACTCATTCAGTTTCTCTTTTCTCTGTTTGGATGCAAAGTCCGGTGGGCTTTTGGTCTTTTGATTTTACCTCAGCAGAGCTAGCTATGAGTCACCATGGAGACTGGCTGTGGCAGTTGTGCAGGGACAGGGCATGATGGGAGAATGAGAGGAGGAGGAGTTGATTTGAAAAGTAGGAAGGGAGGGAGGCGGTGGAGACCCAGGGCAGTGAGCTAGAGGACAGATGGGAGGTGAAGGGGGACTGATCAGCATCGCACCACAGCCAAGGCAGATAATGCTGTAGATTGCATCTGCTGTTTTTAAATTGCCTCGTCATCACCCGTGGACCGACATACAAACGACGTAACACTGAGCCCTGTGCTTCCATAGGTGAGCAATACACCCGCCATGACATGGTTGCGTTACACACCCAAGTCACGGCTACTCACGGTCAGAAACACTGGTGAAATAACACCAGGGGCAGATTTGACTGTTAAGCGGCCTGGGGCCCCAATACATTTATTATAAGGTTTAGATGTGAAATATATTGAAAGATGTTACTATTCTAACTTATTATTATTCCCTGAAATAACTTATAAAAAGCACTTAAAAAAATATGCAACTCAGCTGTATGCTGCTTAGTGTGTACTTCTATATCAGGAAAACATTGTAGTACTACTGTAGCTATTCAAAGAAGAGTTTGTTTGATCCTCGATGTGCTTTAAGACAGGAGTCCATATTCTGAGGAACTGAGTAAGATTGCCACAAAGCCTGTACTTCAGTCTTTCAACATGTAACATCACCACCAACTCCTAAAACCAGGTCTCTGATGAAACTGGGGGCCTGAGTCACATTTCCATAGTTTCAAAATGCTTCTCTTACCATACACAGTGCACTATGGTCTACATGTTTTTGTTCCGTTGTGAAATACCCGAGTAAAGAAGTTTCAGGGTCAGTTGGTAAGTTAAGGTTTGAACCTGTAGAGTACCACTGGAATAAGACACCCCAAAAATGGTAGAATGATACACATCGACGTGTTTGGAAGCTCACCAAAGTTCCTGATTTGGTTCCAGGGTTAATCTACCCCTCTATAAAGCAGCATGAGATGAAAAGAGGAGGGCAGGAAATATGCCAGGAAATATGCGTTTTAACTGGGGTAACATGTACTTGATGTACTGGAGGTATTTTTACTAATTTCTAAGTCTTGAAGGTTTGGCTGCCTTCAGTGGCCAGCCCTGGGGGGCAGGTCAGGCCTGTCTCTATTTTCATATTCATAGAGTAATCATGGAAAAAGCATGATGACCCCCAGGCCTTCCTTTTCCCTTGACATCTGATGGTGGCTTTTAGAGTTTCTAGGTGATTTACATCCCCATATGAAAGGCATAGTGACAGCGTCCATTGACTAAAAGAAAGACTATACAAAAATCTTGCCACGGAGATCATTTTAACAGCATTCACACATTAGCGGAGGTATTTTGCCAGCAGTAAAATGATGGGTTAGTATGGCAGAAGCGTTCACAGTTTGAGTTGCTGCGGTAGAGTGGCGCTGTTCCTGTAGGCTACCTGTCTCAAGGGAAGTGATGAACAGTTCGGTTGTAATGGTATCCAGCATTCCTATCCAGGCTATATCCAGGATCCAGCAGCCAAAGGATCCGCTGTCGGCCCGCTGCGGCCGACATGATGGACTGCAGAAGCCTGAAGCTCCGCCTCCGCTGCTACACAGAGTCATTGTCATACAGACCTAACAACAACAGTGGTGCTGCCAGTTGTGGCAGTTATTTTGAATTTAGGACAGGCCGTCTATGCCATCCCAATTTAGGATTCCTAATTTTGGAAATCACCAAATTAGGATCGTTCTGTAATAGCTAAATTCCTATTCTAAGATAAATGCAGTTAGGAAACATGTTTGAAAAATCCTAAATGTCACCCTAAACTCGGATAGGATAGAATTTAGACTAAGGAAGATTCTGTAATGGTCCTAATTTACTGACTGATTTGTAAATAGGGGATTACGGTCAGGGGTTATCTCTCAAATACTATCGGTGTCAATGAATTTGATATAACACAGCACTACACTATTTAAAAAAAATATTATTTTTTACTTGTTATAAAACGAAACGTATCCTTTTCTTAAAATAAATGACTTTAAATATAGTCGTTAGTGTTGAATTCCTCAATCTTTTAGATGACTAAAATACAACCTCCCCCTGTAGTTTTCCGCTCAGCATGTTTTGCTCTCTGGCTGTAGCTCCATGTCTGGTCAGATATTTAGGCTCAGGTGCTGTGATGGAACACTTAATGTTCAGGGGAAAAAACTGATTTTCATAATTTGCGTCAACATTTTGACAAATTCCACGACAGTCCTCCGATTCTATTTTTAACATCAAGTTCCGCGATTCGGTCGGTCTTTTGCGCATCGTGGAAATCATATAGCTTTCCCAAATACTCTAGCTCAAGATAGACTTCTGAGAGGAATTGTGTCACGACAAGAACGGTGAAATATTGGTATGAATTGAATAAAAGAGCGGAGTCCATCCCCAAGTTCATTGATATGCATGTAGATGTGGAGCAGGCGAGAGTGGGAGACATGTTTTCTGAAATAATGAAACGCATTTATTTTTTTATCAGTGCTGAGTGGAGGAGTACAGGATGAATCAGGATCTCTTATCATTCGTGCTTTTAATGTTTGGCCCACAGTGTGTGGGTGTTTCTCTCTGTATTGTCTGCACCATGAGCACAGCGGTCACCTGTACCTGTGCAGTGGGGGATTTCTGAGTGCTTGGGTGGAGTGTGTATGTGGTTGAAGGGACTTACTCAAACCATGTTGACTTTAGAGATGACTCCACCTGGTACAAACATTGCACAGTCATTGTTGTTGGAACAAGAGAATAAATACTGAATATCGATAAGAGTATTGACTTAGCATCACTGAGCTACTTCCTGGAGCTGTGTATATAGATGTTGTTGGTTGATTTGTATTTGACTTTTGAGTTATTAGTGTTATCTGCATTCTTAATCAACCCTTAAATAATGCATGTTAAATCTGTGTTCAGCTCACACTTTATGTATTGTGTGTGTTGTTGACGATCTGACTGTGACTTTGGAATAATCAGCTCATTACACAATACTGATCTTGTTTATATTTGCTTTATTGAAGCATATATACAGACTTCTGATGGTATGTAAAGAGATTTCCCTCAAACAAGTGAGAAAGAGGGTTTGGTTGCATCACACTTCATGTCTATGATGAAATATTCTATTAACACTCATTTGAATTACCACAGTCCGACAACTTCTGTTATATATGCGTGAGCGCGCACACACACAGAGTACCCGAGAGGTACGCAGCAGTCTGTACTGTAACTCCCATTAGCAGATGGGGCTGTCTGAGATGCACTCAGCCGTGTCATCACTAGAGGCCCCTATTGGCCATGGGACATCAGAAGTAGTGAGTGATGAGTCAGCAGACAGTCGGTGGCAGTATAAAGCGGGCAATAAAAGGTGTCTTGAGAAAGTGTGAGTCAGCGCAACCACGACAGGTCCTCAAGCATTCAGCCATAACTGGGCACTCAAAATATGATGCAGTTTGCTGCAGCAGAATGCCAGATTAGCCGTGGACAGACAGAGTTGCGCAGTCACACAGACACACGGCCGATCTCATGATCCTCCCGGTGATATGACAACACAGATATGATGGGTTATAGTGGGACTGGCCATGCCCACCCATTAACTTAAATAGAAGTGTCAGCAAGAAGTCTGGCTCCAATGCAGAATATATCGCTGGCACAATGACTTAATGATCCTTCCTTCTTTTATAGGTTGCTTGGAGAGACAGTGAAACAGGAAGCCAGAGTTCAATCCTAATCCTATTTACGTCTGTAATAGTGTGTTAGAATAGACTTACCCACCCCTTCTCTTCTGCCCCTCTCTCCATTCTCAAAGGCCTGTACCCGGACCTGGGGGAGCTAGGAGACTACATGGGTCTGGTCCTCAACAGTGAGGAAGTCCAGAGGAACCTGGCTTTGATGCCTGTGGCTGACAATGTAAGTGGTTATGTATATCCTGTGGCGGTGTGTCTGTGCATGCCAGCATCTGAAAGATGAAAGAAAGGTTTATTATTTTCTTTATTCAGCCCCCAACAAGTGACAAGAGTTGAAGCAGTTTGTTAGACTTCACACAGACTCCGCTGGAGAAAGTACAACGTATTCAATAGTGCTCCCCAAACACCTGTAAACATACTGTGATGTGTATAATGAGTGGCGTCCCACATTGATATCTTCATTTCATACAAAATAGATCGTTTTTATTATTTGGGTCAAAGATGAGTCAAATAAAACATTCAAATTACTTATTTAATTCCAGGTCACATTAAAGCTTCATCAGTCTTGGGTGAATAAAACATGTTTTTAGTAAGTGATAGGAGCTGTAGATCTATCGCAGCTCAACGTTATTTTATTCCTGGAGACCCACAGTACTGAGTGACTCACCGCAGGCCTGGAGCAGAGTGTGGGAGGGTGTGAGCTCTTCACTCCCCTCCATTTGCGTGCGGGCATCGATGTGTACTTGTGGATCCTGCAGCATGTCAAGGCTCTCACAGCGCCCTAGCTTGGCAGCTGGCAATGAACCATCTGTGTTCTCTGCCATTTGCTGATATCTTCATACCCTTTTTATTTTTCTAGTGTTTTCAATTCTTTTCATTGCTGGTTCAGAGCATATTAATGAGGAAGTTTCTCAAAGCAGTGCTTACAGCATTCCTGATCCCATCCACTGGTGGAGGAGGAGATGAAATAGAATCCTCCCACGTGCCTCTATTCGGTGCAGCGTTCCTTTTTATGTCGAGCTGAATTTGAATGCAACATGCCTCGTTAATCCTTTCTTCCTCCCGCCTCTGTCTCACCCCCACTCAATTTCCCCCTTGTTCTCTCTCAACCCACCTCCTATACTTTCTGCACCTTCCACGCTGTCTGCCTCCCCCCTCTCCCTCCTCAGCAAGTGGCGGTGCCCTCCCTCTCAGGTGTGGGGGGGATGGTGCGGCCGGTGACGGGGGCGGATGTCGGCATCAGGAGGGCAGAGGTCCGCCCAGGGCTGCGGGAGATTATCCTCTGTAAGGACCAGGACGGGAAGGTGGGGCTCCGGCTCAGGGCCATCGACAACGTGAGTCAGCATCACTAACTCTTTGATACGCACCTGTCCTCTGAATTATTCACCCCCATGACAACGTACTGAGGACCTCTGCTACTCTTCCACTCAACATCTGGTTCAGACTTCACTTGGTGTAGATATTCAATGTTTAACCCTCTATTTAGAGCAAGGGCTTGTCAATAAGTTTCTGACAATTAGGTGACTACTTTTCAGGGTGTTATTTACAGGAACATTTATTTATTGAAATCTATTTTAACCCTTTGTGCATTCAACACAAAACGTTGCTTGAATGTCCTTGCGTGACAAAAATGTCTGCGCCAAAGAATGGACATAAAATTATGTATTAACATTATATTGTGTGCAATATGAACGTACTTAAAAAAGATGGTGGACAAAAACCATAATCCTGTTTCTGTGAAAAAATACCACAAAGATGAACCAAACTGAAATATGGGGTTAGTCAATTCAAGGGATCATACTAAGTTTAAGTCTTTAGAATATTAAAACTTTTGATAACTGTGCCTCCATGCAACCCAACAGGTAAACAAGACTTTCTATCCTTCAAAATACATTTCATAAAGTGACAAATCAAATGTCATCTTAAAATCGCTAGCATTCATTACCCTGAGGTTGTTTCACAGTAAAGGCGTACCGCTGCGTCCTCATTAAAACATGCAGGAAGAGACGGTAGCAATGGTGCAGAAAATCCAGTCGTTGGGCTTTCTGTCACAGTTCTTCGGTAAAGAGTGATAAAGAAGACACTATTATCCACAGGGGAGTGCCCTGAAACTGTAACACAGGCATTAATGTGGACAAAAAAATCATATAATCTATAAGTAGTAACAGACCTGTTTTTATCAACAATTAACATCCCTGGGTCATAGGTGAATGGGTTGTAACAGTACAGTATAGTTAACAGGCTGAAGTTAGCTTCTGAAACAGGGACTTGGTGATGTTTGTTATCAGTGCTCACAACAGTGAATAATGAATGTGCGGTAAGAGAAACTCAAACAAAAGAACAGGTTTTGATACTTATCCAGCCTGCGTCTGATGAATGGAGTTAATTATTCAGTTTGTGTTGAGTTGCACTCGTACAGAGTAATGAGTTGGTAAAAAGAGGAGATTCAGTGTATTGGTGATCGATGTACGGATGAAATGTCGCAGCACACTTGATTCAACAAGGCGCTCTTTTGAATCAAATAATTTCAATACATTGCATGGACATCAAGTAAAAGTGTAGCTCATTCATTTTCAAAGAATTGTTCTTTTGGTTCCGTTTGGTTTCATTTCTTTCATGGTTTCTAGCAACATTCCATCTCCTCTTTCCCCGCTGTGTCCTTGCCTCCCTTCCTCTGTTTTGTCTCCACTATCGACCTCCGTCTCTTCATCCATTCTTTGGACACATTTAAAATGTTTTATCTGTGTCCTCTCTCAGGGAGTGTTTGTCCAGCTGGTGCAGGCTAACTCCCCTGCTGCCTTGGCCGGGCTGCGTTTTGGTGACCAGGTCCTTCAGATCAACGGGCAGAACTGTGCTGGCTTGAGCGTGGACAAGGCCCACAAGGCATTGAAGGCTGCAGCCGAGACCCGCATTGAGCTTGTGGTCAGGGACAGGTGAGGTTTACCCGGTCCATACCAGACTGTAATGGTTCACTCATACGTACAGTTTGAATTAGCAGCTCAAAGGCGTGGCTCCCTCTGCTGGCTGCTGCATCACTTTGCTGCTCAGCTCACAGTTTAGTTTTCACAAACGTATCAAATAGAGTTTCTTGTTATCTTGTATGTTTCTATCTGTTTCCAAGTTCCATGTCTTTCTTGATTATGATTATACATTTCTAGATATACTGCCAAAATAAATGTCCCATAAAGCAAAGCTGTCCACCAGTGGATCGCTAACCCTTTCTGCGTGTGTGTCTCTAGGCCGTTCCAGCGCACCATCACCATGCACAAAGACAGCTCGGGCCACGTGGGATTCATCTACAAGTCTGGTAAAGTCACCTCGCTGGTCAAGGATGCCTCTGCTGCCCGCAACGGCCTGCTGACCGAGCACTTCATCTGTGAAATCAATGGACAAAACGTTATTGGACTCAAGGTCAGACACTTGTCTCTATATCTATAAAGAGTCTTTTTATTGTCTGGTCACTGGTGGATATAAACAGTGTACTGAGTGCTCATGAGGAAGTAATTAATGTTCTATAAGACAGAATGAGCTCTATAGGAATACATACAGAACATGTGTGACGCCTCTACACTGTTTGGTGGCTAATATTGAATTTTGCGTTGGGGTGGCTGCTTGCATACTTGCAGAATGTAGTGTAACATCGGGAACATGCAAAGTGTTTAAGTAAGTGCAGCATTCAGCAGCTCCTAAATACGAATGTGATGTTAAAAGGTCATTAGTTCGTATCAGTAATGTAGCCCTTTAGTCTGCTTTGTCCTCCAGTGTTTTCTCTGGTAGTTGTGTAGTTTCATCCTGCTCTGTGATGAAGGCTTTGAATGTATCCTTAGTCTAAGTGTTTAACCCTTGTGCATCCCTTTAATGAGAGGACAACAATGTCTGAGTCCTGATCATAACTACCAAGTATTTATTTTACTTTTTTAGAATTTTACCACTTTAAATGCCAGCTTGTTTACTTCATGCCACTGATGTTATGGAAAAAAAAAAAGGCACGCACAAAAATGTAAATATTTTTTGTATTCTAAATGCTTTCACAGTCTGGGATATGTCAATGATGAGCAATTTTTGTGCAGTGTCGGATAAAAAAAACAAACAAACAAAGAAAATTAGCATATATAGGAAATGTATTGCCCTATGCGAATTATCAGGAAGCAAAAGGCAAACGTGAGTAAAAAAGGCTCAATCTATTGGAAATATTTAAGAACTACAATTTTAAAGCCAGATATAATAGAATATATGATTTTATTTTTTTTTAATTGTAAAAATTTTACTTTTTTTTTTTAATATAGGGTCGAAGTCCAACAATACCTCCCACCTTTTACCAAAATGTATGTCATATGCATGAACACCGCTAAAATCATCGAAGATTTTCAAACTGAAAATGTCCCTGGTGATGCACAAGGGTTGAGAAGCCTCACTGTGATGGTAATTCATTGACCACACGAGGTCCTCACATGTCTCTGTTCCTGTGTGAAAATCCCAGGATTCTCAGATCAAGGACATTCTGACCACCTCTCCGGCCGCCATGACCATCACCATCATGCCCAAGTTCATCTATGAACACATGATTAAGAGGTAGGACTCCAGTGAATCCAGTGTCTTTACCAAAGCTGTCTAATCAATTAGCTACTCGTTGGTTTAAATGTCTTTACTATTGGTCCTGTAAGTTTGAACATGAAGTGTATCATTTTATTCCTTGCAACAGAACGGGTATGAAAGCGACCCACAATTTTTGAGGTGGACAATTTTTAAAAATTGGTTCAATATTTAGGAAGTGCGTTGCAGACGCTGAACGGCTGTAATCATATTGGGCAATTGCGCACCAGCAATTTACATCCACTAAAAGTGCTTATTTGTGACAATGGCAGGATCTGATTGTTATTATAAGTGTCTGACAACATTATAGAAAGGACCCGATATAGAAATGGAACATTCTTCTCTCTACTTTGCTGTTCTGTCATGTGACTTGTTGCCGCGAGGGAGAGTTGGAGAGAGGAGTGCCGGTGTTGTTGGAGATTGTCGTGTTGGACGACAGAAAGCGTAGCCCACTGTTGTCTAAAAGATTTTAAAGGCCACGGCTGAATATTAAGCCCATTTCAACAATGTGGATGCAACGCAAGATTTCAGAACGAGACTTCTCCGAGCGCGACGCACGATAACAAACAGACCGGTTCAAGTGAAAGGTACGAGAGTGGTTTTATTTCTCCGTAGGGCTCTTACCATAATGTTGTCGGACACTTACAATAATAATCTGAGGCAAAAACAAGCACCTCTAGTGAACACACATTGACGATGTGATTACATAGCCGTCTGCAGCGCTCTCCCTAAATACTGGACCAGTTTTAACATTTTTTGTCCCCTTCAGTCACTTAGACACCAAAACATGGGGAATATACAGGTTCACTGACAGCTTATGGATGTGATTTCTTTCTTTCTTTCTTCAGGATGTCGACCGGTCTCCTGCGGTCAGCCATGGATCACTCTGTCCCAGAGGTGTGAAAACCAGGACTGTAAACTGTCAGGATGTCTACAATACAGAGAGATCTCTCGCTCTCTTTTCCTCTCTCACATCTTTCTCTCTCTTTTCCTGTCTTCATACCAGACCACCTCCTGCATCACAATCATCGCCATTGCTATTTCTCATCTTTAACATAATGTTTAAATGCCTTTTTGTTTTTCTATTCTTCAGTTGTTTAGTATAGTCTTTCTACATTTCCTTTATCTCTGTTGACACATCTATTACTTTTTATATGTTAACCTTGTAATCAAGTCTTTATTTTTTGTTTTTTATTTGAGATCAAGGACAGTGTTCTTTTTTTTTTTTTTTTTTTTTGAAAAGCCATGCACACCATCATGAGTCCAGAGCTTCCTCCTCATTTTGTGGAGACGAATTATTGGCACGTGACGTTTCATCTTGTCAGAATGCTGTAAAAGCCAATGGTCCGTCATCAGAGCCCTACCGTGTAGAGTAAGGCTGTGCTCCCTGTCCCTGCACTTGGCCCCAATTGTGTGTTCGCAAATAATCTGATCTGAAGTAACACTGTGAAAAGGATTCTAGACTCCAGTGTCATTTTTACTTGGCCAGTAAAAACTAATAATTTTTAAGTGTTGCTTGTAGTTCATACCATATATTGGTAAATAAAATTAGTGTTGATTCTGGCATCGAGATTAGTTGTTTTTAGTACTTGTGAATAAGGAACATTCTAATGTACGTGCGATGTGGCAGTTACCACCTTTGTCCAAGAGACATCATTTCCTCACTGCGGGCAAATGTCACAGTGATGCTGTGGTGTGTCGCATTAGTAGGTACTGGAGGAACACTGTGCACATTCCAGGGGAAAGGTGTAGGGAGAAAAGAGGCAGCGGCAGATGTTTGTTGCTCCATGCAGCTGGGACTCAACCCTGTCCGCAAGCACCATTAACAGCTATGAGACGGTGAAAGGCACACGTCAGCGAGATCACAGTGCGCTGATGTGATTGGCTTAGCTGGAGGTCAGTTGAAGGCGTTTGTCGGATGTGGGCATGCGCTTACAACTGTAATTTGAGGGAATGTGTGGTGTTTGTCTGGACAGGGTCTGTGCTGGGCGGACCCACTAAGTGCACTTTCCACTACCTTTTTTAAAAGGTTGTCTTTCCTGTATCCATTTCAACAGTGAACTTCAACAGCGGTTTCTTTTTTTTTATTGTGTTTGTGGTGCCTCATGTTAATGAGAGAACTCATTAAAACCAACTTGTTTGTTAATCATAGGAAACGGCTGAAATTTGATGCTGAAAATCATGTGCTCAAATGGAAGGCATTCAAACTCCACTAAATTGGGTTCATTCAGTGAACTTGCTCTCCTCTGCTCGTTGTCAGAGGACGTCCCGCTGTAATATTCCTCCCATGACTGATGAGCACAATGAGACTGAGCAGAGCTCGCAGTTGTGAATTTCTACTTGTTATATAAAGTTGCTCCTTTTAATGCTGTTCATGTTTGGATGCATGTATTCCTTTAATTTTCTAGGTATGCAATCTGAAAAAACATCAGTGTCATTCTGTAAGAAAATCTAAAAGTTTATATACGAATGTAACCAAGATAATATTGTAAAACAAATAAACAGTCTTTCTGTTCACCTTAGATCGGTGGTGTTTGTCTCCTCCTCGGTACGTCGCGCTGAACATCATACTAAACATATATTCTTAAGAATGAGTGTGGTCGGGGAAAATGCAACGGTCCACAATATCAAGCAATAAAAACATCCAGAGATACAAGATTCAGACAAACACACAGATCAAGACAACGGAAACATTTCCTCCATGCTGTTTTAATATAGGGGCTTTTGGTCTCTCTTTATACAGCGTGGTGGGAGTGTGAATGGAGAAGCAGCCCATTGATGTCTTTAACTGTACACACTACTATTACCATTAAAGTAGTTAATTAACATTACGTTATCTGTAGATATCTGATGTCGGCTAAATTCCTATATAAGGCATTAAATGCCCTCAATGTTAGAATGTTAAAGGACGTGGTATAACCTCTGCACACATTTATTATCATTACATAGGCTATGCAACACATACTCAGACAAGGAATAAAGCATAGATTGACAATACACATTCAAATATTGACACCCCACCCACCACCTCTTGTCTTTCCACGAGATATTCAGCATCATATGTGTTTAAGGATATACTTAGTATATAATCACTCAGTCCCCCCCCACACACTCGCATTGTACACGGGCACAACCGTTACTACAGCAGGAAGTTTGTGTGTATTATGAGACAGAAATAGAAAACCGGGTGAGGTACAACGATGTTCTTGCCGAGAACACTCCGGATACTGCAATTTAATAACTAGGGTTAGAATCTGAAACAAGGAGACTGCAGGCCGTAATGTTTGTTACCCATTGAATAGGTAAATGTAAGGGACAATATGCCTCCAAGCGTGTGATTTTGTTTACTAAACTCTAAGACAAGTTCGTAAGGCCGTGATAGAGGCCTTTTAGAAACACCAGCACACATTAAACATACTAAAGCAGATGTTCAAAAAGATTGAATACAGAGGCCTATATTATTTAAACTTTCTGTGCACAAGAGATACAATTTATTGTCTTCTTTTCTTGCACACACTATTTTAACAGCTTGGTCGAACAAGTTAGGAAATTGTGTGTACAACATAATGTCTTCTGCGTATCTGACAATTGCTTTTATTTTCTGTGTACACGATGCAAAGGATACGTAACTTGTGTGCACCAGAGGGGGTGTAGCACGAAGCGACATCGACATTGCCAGGCCCCGTTAACACGAAGAGTTTGGTAAGCGCAAAAATAACATCTTAGAGATGTTGTGTTTAGACAACATTAAAATGCGTGTTAACACTATATTTGTACACTGTTACCTCAACAAAAATTAAGGAAGACAATTTGCACAAATAACATTTTAGAGATTCCGTTTTCAGACATTAAAATGTGTCTTAACACGTGAAGTTTGGTTATGTTAAAAAACTATTCTTTTGCGGTTAACTCAAGAGTTATGGAAGGCCATTTGCGCAAAAACATCGTAGAGATTTCGTGTTTAGATGACTTTACAATGTGTGATGACACGTAGAGTTTGGTCGTGTTAAAACACATTTTTACACAACAAAAATTGACGCTTTAACACAGGTTAGTTTTCTTTGCCCTAAGACAGTACACCCCTCAGGTTTATGTCTTGTGTGCACAAGATAACTTAACAAGATGAAGATAAGCAACTTAAGTGTAGCCTGCTGTGCAAAGAGGCAAATGAATGGGGTTAGGATGAAGCTGCTACCCACAAGCCTGGATTCCTAAACCTGAACCACTTGATACAGCATCCCGAGGTCACTATCTCTACCCTTTCCTTTCCTCCATCACCGTGTTTGTTACAATAGCCTGCTTTTAATGACAGCAGCAGAGTTGGACGGACTTAAATCAAAGTACAATTCTGATATACTGATGTTATCGTTCACATGACTTGCAACATTAGAGATTTTTTTTCACAAAACATCAATATGGAGAGGAGGAGGCCGCCTCCCACATTCTCACACCTGTTCCCTCACAGGATTATATGGCTTTTTGTAAAACATTAAATAGTTTTAGCCTCCCACACTTAAGCCGAGCGGCTCGCAGCTCATACAGTCAGAAAATGCAAAGGCAACAATGCACAACTCATGATAATGACGGTGATGTTGTGGTTAGAGGTGGTCCTTTGGGTCTCTAAGGCATTCTGTCAATCTTTTCATAGATCTCAATACATTGCTAACGGCCACTGTTTTTCTGGATCCTTCAGGTCGATGAAGTGGAAACCAAACACAGACAGGAATTCTCATGATTGTCATTGACGTCTGGCCATTACATCATTTGACCACTTAGCATAAACACTGCTCATTCTCTATCAGTGTGAGTTTTACAACAGCATTTAGACTCCATTACTTTGTACGGTCTGTCGATACATATTGTGGTGAAATGTAAAGAGCTGAGATCAATAGCTCCTATCGTTATTAATGAAATCAACTGTTTTATAGTATTCACAGAAATAATGACGTGTATTGTAATGGTATTTCTAAGGATCTATCTGGAAAAATCTGCCTTAACTTTGCCTGAAATATAATCAGCACATTGTCAAACTGAATTGACGCTGTAGAACAATCAGAACTCACTAGACATACAACACTTTGGATACACATACAATCTCAGACTTCAAGTAATTGCTTAAAATTTATAAAGTGAACAATAGTGCAAAATATGTCAACCAAAAAAAAAAGGAAATGAAGGAGTCATGCTGCTTATTTCTTCACCAAAGAACGAAACAATTCAGTTGGCGTCAGACTATTTTTTGCTGGTTGTGTCCACATTTGGCTCATGAGTCTCTGACTATCAGATGATTTTAGATTTTACAGTTGCAGGCTGCTTATTTGCCCTTGTTACACATGAAGTTATACATTTTGCACAAGATCAGCAAACAGAAGACGTTTTCCACCAGGTGTGACTTTCATCAAAGACACACATTCACACAAAGTAAAGACCCTGATCCTAAACGCGACTCTGAGGAATCTTATTGATTTACATTTTGAGCGTCGACAAACACGTAGTACATGTATAGAAATGCTTTGCAGAATGATCTATTACACAAATAAAGTTGATTTATTCGCAGTGACTCACTAAGTCTTGTACAGCTGACTTCAAATACACACTACAAGAGTGACAGTTAAACTACACCAACAAGAGCATTAAGTTAGCAGAAATATACAGCACAGAGCACAGACTGAGCGCAACGCACGCCATTCAGATCAACAGCAACGTGTCAAACTGAGCCAGTAAGTATCTACAAACAATTTGTTGAATCGAAGAGATTTCTTGCGCGTGTTGTGTGAAATGAAAGCAGAGTCTAATTATTTTCAACAGTTCAGCTGAGTTTGCTTCAAATGCAAGGTTCATCTAACTCGTGGCAAGAAAGCAAAAAGTATTTTTCCCAAAATGTCGAACTATTCCTTTAATGGTTGAGAGAAACCATAAGGGAGCACAGACTTTATGAAAGAAGTGGACGTACCTCCTGGTATGAAAAGTGAAACCAATGCGGAAGTGCCTTAAACGTGCATTATTTCGAATGGCCATCAGGGGGCGCCACCTCTGGTGGCAAAAAGAGATCTGGTTGTATAGAAGTCTATGATTTATTACCTCAGCAACCATCAGTTTATGGTCTCAATTGCTAGTTTCAAGTCTTCTCTAATGCAGCTTAATTTAGTAAATGATTGTCCCATTCTTTAGGGTTCGGCTACCTCGTGGTAAACAAAATGGTAATCCACAAACCAATGATGTTATGGTGGATACGTCCACTTCTGTTATACTGTCTATGTAAAGGAGTAAACAATATGTAGGTCCTGGATTTAACTGCACAGTCAACAACCCAAACGAATGCTGTGCATGGAGAAGAGAAAAGGAAAACAAGGTTTGCTAGTAGTAATAAGTGGCATTTTCTGCTCGGTTGAATAAATGTCTTCATGCTAAGCTAAGCTAATCGCCTTCTGACTCCAGCTCCAAACGAGCTAGTAGTTATGCGGGAAATTGCTCAAACCGCAAGACAACTCAAAGTCATGGATGTGTTTTTCATGGATCCAGATTTTCTGGATTGTATTTCATGTATGAAACAACACAGCTCTGTCCTTTGTTGAATTGCAGGGCTGTTTTAGGTCTAAATCCCCACTTCATGGCCCCTCAAACAAACAACAAACAAATTTCGCAGAAATTCATCCCGACTCCAATCACAGGCAACCAGTTTTATGTTCAAATCTGGCTCAATTTGCACAGTGCCTGCCTGGCATAATCAGAAACAACCAAACGGTGTTTGGCTTGACAGCACGATTGATCTGCCCTCCAACAGCAAAAAGTGTTGTTAGCATCTACGGTTCTTGTCAGCCTGGCTGCGGTGTGTTCTACCCTTAGAATCAACCTGAGTTCTGTGTCTACATCATTGTTTCTTGGTAGTAGATAAAGTCCATGTTTTCAGAAATCCGAATTAGGGTGGATCTTCCATTAGTCGCTGCTGCAGGTTAGTGTGCAGAGTGTAGCTCATGCACTGCAGACAACGAGGCCATTTGGTTATACAGAGACACATCTGATACATACGCATACCATATTTCATGTACTTACTCACCGAGATCATTAGAACATGCCAGAATTGAGACAGCCTGGTAGGTTGACAAATCAATGAACCTGTAACATTTCCCTGCATTTTAAAAAGAAAACAATCAGCGTTTAACATCCAAGCATAGATCATTCATTTCAACCAGCTCATTCAGTTTTGCACAAGTCAGTAGTGTTGGCGGACATCTTGGTAGCAACAGCAAGGACCAGTGGGTGAGAGACAATAAAGAGCACGACCAAACAGAACAGACTTTACCAGTCAGAGATTTTAGTCATAAATGCACATTTCTTGTTCCTGATGTTCCCTCAGCTATTAACCTTGATGAGGAATCCAGGACATGAAGTTTCTTCTCTTCTTCCTCTCACGCTACGGGTATCTTCCAACAAGGTAAGGACCCAGACCCTCTTATAGACTCCTCATATCTGCGATCCGCCCAGGTCTCCCCCGCCTGCGGGGTAATGCCTTAACCCACCTCCCCTGCGAAGCGAGTGCAGTGCCACAGTGCAACAGCCTCGCAGCAGCGACCCTATATGATACATGGGTCCGCTACGGACTGGGCCGCGGCACAGCCACGCCACTGTTGGCACCACAGGAATGGCCACTGCCAGCAGATCAACCAGGAAGTGACGACTCCAGTAGCTTTTCTCAATTATCCCCGAGCTCGATGGATTTTCTACCTCTGCTGTGGCACCCCCTGTGGCACCATGTTCTTCAGTTCCATCTTCATCATCATCCTCATCATTCAACTCCACTACAGTGACGCCAGCTATCTCCTCATGGGAAGTAGATCTCCTTGGCTGCGAAGTGTGAGGCTGTTCTACATCTGGTGATAACCCTTGGCGACCTGGACTCAACTCTTCTGTCTCTACCTTGGTTGTTCCTGCTGATGAACCAACTTCTTGCAGCCCGTCTTCCATGCTAAGGTTTTCCAGTGTTGTCCCAGACTGTGTGCCTTCTCCACAGCAACTTCCAAAATGAAGCTCACCCAACGTCCCTGCTGATGTCTCTGTTAAATTACACAGCTTACCTGGTGCTGCCTCCTCCACTGCACCCTGAACTTCCACCTCATTCCCTCCCTCTGAGCCCATTTGCGTCTGATGCCCTTTTTCTGCCAGGTTGATCACTGTTGTGTCCTCCTGCCACTCCGTTGCTTCAGATTCCTTCTCTCTCTTCTCATTCTCCTGCTTTTCCACTTCCTCCACTCCCTCTTCCCCCCCACACGAAGGACTTTCCATGGAACACGCCACTGTAGCAGACTGTGGTAAGTGAGGGACCAGCGGGGTTTTGGAGGCCGGGATCGACTCTGTGGCCGTGCTCATGATCGTCGCAGTGGTTATTGAAGCTGTGGTGGTGATGGAGTCCAGCTCCTCCTCCCCCTCATCAGACATCCAGGTGGAGGTGGGGCTGCAGGCCTGGGAGCGGAAGGTGCGTTGCTCCGCAATGGTATCCAGATCAGAGGGATAACCTGCCGTTGCAGGGATGGGGCAGCTTTCAGTTTGAATGCCTGTCTCCCGCAGGGGGTGCAGGTAGAGGTGGTGGTGGGACAGGCAAGGATGGCTCATACAACCCACTCCACCGAGACCGCAGTGAGTGGGTGCCAGCCGCTCACCTGTGCACAGCTTCTCATAGGTGGTGGAGTGCTGCATAGTGTGGGCCACAGAGTGGGACAAATTGCGAGGGAAAGACCGAGGTAAGGTATGGGAGAAGGTGTGCGGCAGAGAATGGGGCAGAGAGTTGGGCAGAGAGTGGGGCAGAGAGTGGGACAGAGAATGGGGCAGAGAGTGGGGCAGAGAGTGGGGCAGAGAATGGGGCAGAGAGTTGGGCAGAGAGTGGGGAAGAGTGTGGGGCAAAGATTGGGGAAGAGTGTGGGGCAAAGATTGAGGTAGAGAGTGGGGCAGAGATTGGGAAAAGGTTTGTGCGTAGGAGTTGAGTAAAGATGCTGTTTCCTCAGAGAGGAAGGCGGCCTCTAACAGCAGGTCGGCCTGGCTGGGGACGCTGCTCTCCCCGCAGCACACAAAACCGCTATCCTGGGTGCCGTCACCTGACAGACAAGGAAAGTCCGAGCCATTTACGTTTCGGTCCACAAGCGCCTGATCGCTCAGCTTAGTGTAGGTGGAGCTTCGGGTCAGAGAACGGGCTGGGCTACCGTCGCAGGAGCAAGACCCCCTCCCTCCTACTGCCGGTTTGGGTATTCCCCCTGGACTTTCCCCTGATACCGATGCTGGTGCCGAGCCTCCAACACGGGTCCGACAGCCTAGTATGGCTTCCCCCTCCTTGGCTAATCCAGCCTGGGCTAGCTCCATGCTGATCAAAAGGTTCTCAAGCTTGTGGTTCTGAGTGTTGATGTCCTGAAAGTACTTCTGGACCCCTACGTCGCCACTGAGCCCCCCTGCATCACTGAGTGTGGCGCGAACAGTGTCCACAGCATGTTTGAGCTGCTGGATCTCATGGCGCGCGTCCTTCAGGGCCAGCTGAGCCTCCACACGGTGACATTCCTCCTCAACCCAGTCCTCCTGCATCCTGTACAGCTGGCCTCTCAGCTCATCTATCTCTGTGTCCCTAAGAGGGTACAAATGGAGAGGAGAAAGGAGAGAAAGAAAGAACAATGAGAATCAATAAATTAGGTTTAGGGTTAGGATTAGAACCTGGTAGGAAAAACCTAAGAACAAGTCAGACAATTTAAGAACTGACTCTGGCCAATATTGATAATCTCTACTTCGATCTCTGTATCTCACCTGTCTTGGAGGGTGTTGATGGTATCATTTAGCCTGGCCCGCAGGTGTCGGATGCACACCTCTTTCTGCTGCAGGGGTGTGAGGTACTGCTCCGGTGGAGGGGGCCGGATACCATGGTTTTCCGTACATGAGTACTTCTGATGACGTCTAGGACACATAATGAAAGATGTATCCCGAGTTCTTTTGAACAGATTTAACTTCAGTGACACTTATATGTTTAGTAAATACTTTTTCGGTAGCGACCAACATGTATCCTTAGCACTGACTCTCAAAAACTGTCAAGTACCAAAAGCTGGCTTTGAACGTCTGTTTAGGTTGGTAGCAAAGCCAGGTTTCCACAAACTTTTAGTCCCAGAAACTACTTTTCAAGGAACTAAAAGGTTCCTTCAGCCCATTGTTGTCTGCGTTTCCACTGCAGTCTAAAGACCCATGAAGATTAGGCAGTTTAGTTTTCTGATGTCTTACCCTTTGGTGGGGCTGCAGTCGCTGCCTTTACAAGAGCCTGAGTTGCTGCTGCTGCTGAGGGATGTGTTGCCATGGGGATCTCTGTTACTGGGTGCGGCTGGTGTCCGCCTGGTCCAAAGTAAGAGGACACGTTAGACACGCCATGAAACCAAACTCCAAACAACGAGGTGACAGTGAATTCTGCTAGCCGTTGAGCAAAACCATCACAAAATCTTTCAAAACCACAGATCAAAAAAGACACAAATGAAGCAATCCAGGTCCACTAACATGCCAATACAACACCGAAATGCACTTATACACACAGACACAGTACAAATATAGAGGCTAAAGTCACAGTTCTGTCTTAGAAACAAGGACGCTGACAGCGATGTCGCAGGTTTTTTAAACAAAGGGAACTACAAATCCAAAGAAATTACGAACTGAGCGATATCACAAGAAGCATTCCTCAAAAGAAATAAAGTGAGGATAGCCGTCTATAGAGTATGAAAAAAAGGAAATAGAACAAACAAAGAGAAAAGAAGGAGGAAGTAACAGGTCAGCCTAGACATAATGCTGTGTGAACAAGATTATTGTAACACCATGAGACATTCACAGCAGTGCCAAAGGTGTCATCATTTCCATGCTTCAGAAAGTCAACACCGATTTTGAGGAAAGAAGAGGGGACTCAGGACAGACCGAGTACGAGGGGTCGAGGGAGAGTTTGTTGAACGGCTGTGGCGATCCGGAGACTTTGTGGAAGCCTGTCCTTTCGTCGGCGACTTGGTCGATGCATAGCCTTTAGTCGGACGCATTGAGACCATATAGCCCGTCTCCATAGGAACGTAGTCTAGCTCTATGAACCTGCAGTAGTCAAACCTGACCAGACAGAGACAACAGGGTGTTAAATGACAGAGGACAGCAGAGTACCACACCAGACCGATACAATGTGCATGCTACAAATGTATGCTCTCTATTGAGATGAGGAGAAGCGTTCTGTCTTAGGATTCGCGCCTAAGTCATTCAGAGCCTGAGATGCAGGCAGATGCTAAATATCAACAAGCACTCAACCACTGATGGGGCCTAAAGAGAGGAAGCTCTCTAAAAGCTTTGCAAAAGTAAAGAGAGATTGCTCTGCTTTAATTGTTTGGGCTGCTCTCGTTGGCTTCCGATGTATGAAACAAACATCTACGTGAAGACATTTGCAGCCATGAGGCCTTTTACTGGCACAGAAGAAAAGCTAGCGCTCAACATCCTAAAACAAGAGAGATAAAATGTTCTGATAAGAGCAGCAGGGGAGCAGCGGCAACAGCATTAGCATTTATTCATAAGAGCCTCTTCATCCAGACAAGCTTTCACACACAAATGTCTCTACACACAGCAGACCTCATTGGTAGACATCAAAGACATGATCAAACATAAATTCAACCTCCAATACACCCGATACATCCCAAAAGATTGCCAGAACATGACAAATTGTATTCTCTTTGCCAGTTTGTGGATTGACTATTTGAGGAGACACAGGTCAATTAAATTGTCAAAATAGTGTCAGATTTAGCCTGGTGTGAAATGATAAAGACCAATCCAACCCTTTGGACGATCAAAAATCCCTTCTTTCTCTCCACACACTGCCAAGGAAGATGTCATTCTTCTTCTTCTGTAGAGTAACCACTGCTGAAAATAACCTGCTCTTTGCTCCCTCCTCAGCCGATAATACAGACAACCTGATCCTGCACTATGAGGCCAGATTACAATTTATAATTTAAAAGACCAATTTGGGAAATGAGCTGATTCGCTTTCGTGCCGAGTCAGAGATACAACTCTGTCCGTTAAACGTGATGCTAGAGGCAGGACGTGATTAGCTTAGCTTAGCGTATAGACTGGAAGCAGGGGGAAACAGCTAGCCTGCTAGCCTGAAATAGAGAGACCAAGCACTGCAGAAGTTTGTAGACAACAGAGATTCCAGCTAAAAAGTTGCCATGGATTATTATTGATAACTGTTAAAATAACAAGGGTTTTAACATCTAAATAAAGTGCTGTAGTGGTTGCCAGTTTGTCTGTCAGAAATACTCAATGAGAGATTATACTGAGATACAGAAGCTAGTGGAATGGAGGCTAACGTGATGTCAAGATTTTGTCTCTCTATAGTTCAAACACATAAATCCACCATTTCTTTTGGCAGATTAAAAACCTGAGGAGAGTTGTGCTCATTACAGAGCTTTGAAAGGTGCTGGGAGATGGATTTCTTAGCTTTTGATTGCGCTGGTTTCCTCTACTTCTGGTATTTATGCTAAGCTAAGTAGCTCCCTGACTCTAGCTTAATACCGTTCAAACAAAAGTGGTATAGATCTTTTCATCTAACTCTGGACAAGAGCGCGACTACGTGCATTTCCTAAAATGCCTAACTAATCATCTTATAAACCATGTAACTACATGTATCATCAAAATAATAATGTCGAACAAAAGTAAAGAAAACACATATTTATGTATTAACCATCCTGCTACAGAAAATAAAGTTGTTGAATATCACAGTACAGTGTATCAGTGGTAGCCAGAAGGAGGAGGAGGAGGAGGAGGGGTGATCTGTGATGGGCAACTTCTGTCAAGGCATTCTGTGCTCATAATATATATTGCGAATGTTGGATAATCAGCGATATTGTATGACACCCAGTGAATGTTGTAATGACCTGTTTCTTTTAACTGACTGTTGCCCAATCACTGGCCTCCACAGAGGGGGAAGGGGACAAGCGCGACCACTCGGAGCAGCCATGGGGGATTCTCACACAGGACTCGATAACTCCACACCACCGCACTGAAATCCAAAACATGGACCCAGTGTCTCTATACTGAAACTTCAACCCGCTGGAACACTTTCACCATGCAATGACTATATTTGACACACTCACACTATGGTGTGTAATTCTCACTTCTTTGTGAAAACATACACTACATCTAACCCAACTTTCTCAAGAGTTGTGCTGAGTAAACGTGTCCTGTGTGACACCATAAGGGAGGAGGCCAGATATTGACTACTTTGTAGTTCTTTGAAGATCAATATGTGACAAAAGCCAAGACAGAACAGAAGCCGGCAGAGGGAAGCAGCTAAAGCAGTGAGCCTGGAGGGGGTGGAATACATAGTACAACAGGTCCGACAGTCTACGGCGTCCATCTGCTCGGATGGAACCTGTGTCTGGACGGTGGGGTGTGGGTGGCAGTTGTGGAGAGGCCGTAGGAGCCGAGCGGAGTCAGGTGTTGGTCAGTGTGAGTGGGTGGAGTACAGACATCATCTTTAACGCTGTGGGTCATTTCTGGTAGAGACAGAGACTTTGCTCAAGACGCTGGAATCATTTTAGATCAACCATCTCTGATTTTTTTTAAATAAACCAAGATGCACATTCTCATTTCAGGCAATGCCGGTGTCTCACCCAACTCTCCGCTGTGGAAGTGGATAGTGTTCATAACAAACATGGTGCGGCTGATTGAGCGGCTGTGGCGAACCAGTGATCACTTGTGATCACAGTGTGCTTCCACAGCACAATGGTGGCATTTCTACTGTGCATGTAGCCTCTAAACACAACTTCTTCAATCCTAGTGTACAAATTGACCTAGTAACTTTACTAATGTACATGTTAGTGGTGCGTTCAAGTGCACACCTGTACATCAGGGTTTCCCTTGTTTTATCAATAGACTCAGAGGTGATGTGACACAACAACAACAACACACACATAAGTGTGTGCTTTTTGCTGTTGTTGATGCCAACTTCTAAGCTAAATATAAAACACTGAGAGCTCCAGTTGGGATCTCAGTGTTGTTGTCGTCTTCAGGAAAACCGTGTCCAAGTGACACAGGTAGCATAAATGTTGCCTGTGTGCTTGGTCTTGTTTTAGTGGCTACAATGCATACTAGAGCTACAGCTACTGAGCATGCTCTCGGAGACTGTAACTGAAGTGTGTCTCACGCAGGGGGCGCTGGCACAGGAACGGCCACCGACGCCGCTGGCGCAGCCGTCCCCGACCCAGACCCAGACGCCGGCTTCGGCACCGGGACGGGTGAGGACGCCAGTATTTGCTGCAAGCGGCGTTTGGGCTGCAACGCCTTCAGAGGGTTGAATCTGAGGAGGAGAGACGAGAGAGAGGAGGACACCACAGCGACAGATTGAACTGTCTGTAGCTACGTACAGTATCACCATCTTAAAAAAAAAAAACCTTCTACAACCACTAATCAGACGTCTTGGCTTCAGTGTTGGGAGGATTTATCACTTAAACACTTAAAAATCACATGACACACAATTAGTATAAGTGGATCTATGGCAACAAAGTATTATTCTTCAGATCACCAGCCAATACCAATGCCAAATAGGCTGTTCATATTATTAAAGGAGTGACTGTGTAAAACTGGAACACAGAAGTAAATGAATGTACAACAATATTGTATACTATTGTATATTGTATATTAGGTAGAAAACATACATTCTGTACACAACTTTATTGCAGCATTTGCATTGCAAAGTGAAAACATTTAGACTGAGGCTTAATTGATGTAGAAAAAGGCATCACAACACAACACAACCTCAGTTACATGGCCTTATGCTTTAACCTGTGTTCATTAAACAGGCCACGGAAGTCCAGTAGCTGTAGGAGAAAACACATCAATATTCTCAATACAACTGTTCCCAGGTTGCAGTGAACTGGCTGTTCACTTCAGTGGGAAAGAGGTGGCTGAGGACACCTAGTTTATTCAATGATACCACAGCTCCCCCATCAGGATGATGAGAGCTAAATGAAAAAAGGTACAGAAACAAATTGGCATAAAATGCAGACCCATCCATGACAGAGAGGGAGAAAGAGAGACCCGAGTAAGAGGGTACCACTTTCTATTATGGCACCTTTTACGGGGGGCTTTAACTTCTTTAAAATAAATAATTTATGAATGCTTTAATAAGACAAACTTTTGGACTGCCGGGTTAAATAATTAATAGTAAAGCCATTAATAAAGTTATTATTGTTATGCATGGCTAATCTTGCATACTGCTGGACCCATCATCCTAAGTTCCTAGTGTTTTTTGACACACTATAACAATACTGTGGCTTTTTAAAATACTAAACTATGACTGTTTTCAATATACTCTACTATGGCTTTTTTGACACACTATGCTATGACCTAATAATTTTTTCATCATACTATACTATGACTTTCTTATGACTTTTTTAATGGCTATTTATAGCTGTTAATAACTTTGTTCCACATGCTCTGCAGCACTTTTCTGAAACGTCAGACTGTCCATTTGAGCAGTCTACCTGATAAGCTATAAAGGTAAAAAGACAAAGCAAGTGTCCTGGTGGAGGGTGATAAACACCAGCCAAAGACATTTTTCACAAGCACGCAACCCAAAGTTTGTTCTTAGAAATGGTTATCTACCAATCTTTAGAAGAGGATTCGTTAACCATTAATCAAGCAATTGGCTACAACTCATAAAGCCTTTATAACTGGCACAGAATCAGAATGGGGTAATGAGTTGGTCCAATTGGGGGAAAGCTGTACTCAGGAAGTGTTAAGTTTAGAAATAATTATGCTGCACACACACACACACACACACACATCCACAGAACACACACAGTATGCATTTACTCCCAAAGGTATTCTACAATTATGCTTTAAAAGGTTAATTTGACAATGACCAACATAAATAAGCAACAGAAAAAATAAATAAACACTCAACAAAGGCTTATGAAAGGAAGACAAAATGACAGGCTTGTTTTGTCCATATCTGCTTGTCCCGAGCTTTATATGTCAGACAGTAACTCAACAGATGGACCGGGCGGACACTGAATGTTGCTGCTGGATGCTTTTAGCGACTTACACCTCGTTTTCAATGGATTGTGCTTCTTGCTCTAACGTTACGGCTATCAGGTTGAGCGGTGACAAGCTCATCCATACAAAGTGTGAAGTAACAAAGTCAAACAAATATATAGTAGCCCAATTAAATAATAAAAGCAAAGGAGCAGTGATAGTCTGTCATACAAAGGTGGTTAAAGTGGGGATCTGTTGTCAAGATATTGTTGTCATAAAAACAAAAAAAAGACGCTATGCATACACATGACCAAAAAGTTTACAATCTTTCATGAACTGACAACACACAGTGAAAGGGTTAAAGTTCTGAGATGAAAACATGGAGAACTCCCAGAACAGACAACAGCAGGTGTGTCGACAACTTGAAACTAGAGGTTGAGACCATAAACTCATGTTGACAATGTTTACTGAGGTAATAAATCAAGTGAGAAGTAGAGTCATTTTCTCAAAGACTTCTATTAAATCAGACTTCTCTTTGCAAGTTTAAGGACACTTCTGCACTGGCTTCACTTCTCAGACCCGGAGATTACAGTCTGGTAGAGATTGGAGTCATTTTCAAATTTAGGAATGTACTTTTTGCCAGTAAGAGTTGATATCCTACTCTGAGACACTTGATAAACACAGGACCTGGTCCTCTCACACTGCAATATCAAATGACGGAGGTTAAAACAGTCCTTCCCTGGAGATGCTTCTTTTAAACTGCGGTTATCTTACTGAATACCGTCACAAAACAGGTACAGGTCCTCATTGGCCACCTACCGGCGAGAGCACAACCCAGACCTCCGATTGGCTGGAGCAGGTGCAGACATGGGTCCAGACAAGCTTTAGTGTCTTCTGTCCTCACTTTGTCTCTCTGTTCTTCAGCACAACACTGAGAGCCTGGAGGGAAACACAGACATGACCAGTGAGTGACCACACACACACACACACACACACACACACACACACGCACACACACACACACACACACATACACACACACACACAAATCAATTTGCTGACTGCCTCTGTGTTTGCCTCTGGATGCCTCAGCAGCATGCAGCACGGTGCTGCTGACTCAAGCTGACACTTATCTGGCAAAGGCGGGACATCAGGGTTCAGCAGCCAATCACCTCCTAGCCATGTGGGAGACATCATCATCATCGCTCATTTGTCTCATCTCAGGCCGAATACCAGTGAGAGTGGCAGAAGTGAGCAAAGGGAACTGAAATTTACATGCAGATCTGTCTTGATGCTAAGTTTGTTCAAGTGTGTGACCTTATGTGAGAGTAGCCAAGGACATAAACATTTAATCATTATCCCTGTCAGTGACCGAGCAAAGCTTACCCAGCCATTATGTTGCTGAAAAGGCCAAATGCAAATGTGTTCCAGCCACAGCCGTGGTATTGGCGGTTTATGCGCGATAGAGAGGCACGGTGAAAGTGAGAGACAGAGATAGAGGGGAGAGAGAGGAGGATTATTCACATCAATAATACATCACACACACACACACAACTCAGTGGGCTCTTGAGTGCCAGGTTTGTGTATGTGTGTAAAGGCAAGGCACCTGCTGTAAGTCACCTTCCTGCTGTAACTCCTCGACATGCTGTGTTGTCTCTGTGCCGACCATCACTGACTCAAACCCCCCTCCCCATCCTAACGAGGATAGGTGGATTAATGGAACTGAAGCCTAATATTCTTATCTCTCTACTGCATCACTTCAATAAGATGTTATTCATTCAAATCCTGTTTTAAAGCTTATCCATATCTGAACTACTTTAATGGATCTAGCATTGTTTCTCTGCTCTTTTTTTTTACAGCGTTACTGCTTTGATTGGATTCTAAATAATTACCAGATGCCAAATGGGAACTGAGTGTTTGCTTGTATGGGTTTACACATGTGCTCCATCTCATCCATCCATCCATCCATTTTCCACCGCTTATCCGGGGTCGGGTCGCGGTGGCAGCAGGTCAAGCAGGCCGACCCAGACCTCCCTCTCACCGGCAACATGTTCCAGCTCATTCTGGGGGATCCCGAGGCAAGGCGCCGGGGGTCGATGAGATCCGCCCTGAGATGCTGAAGGCGCTGGACATGGTTGGGCTGTCCTGGCTGACACGCCTCTTCAATGTCGCATGGGGGTCGGGATCAGTACCCATGGAATGGCAGACCGGGGTGGTGGTTCCCATCTTCAAAAAGGGGGACCGGAGAGTGTGCTCGAATTACCGGGGTATCACACTACTCAGCCTCCTGGGGAAGGCTTATGCCAGGGTGCTGGAAAGGAGGCTCCGACCGCTTGTCGAACCTCAGATACAAGAGGAGCAGTGCGGATTCCGTCCCGGCCGTGGAACAGTGGACCAGCTCTTTACCCTCGCAAGACTACTGGAGGGGTTCTGGGAGTTTGCCCAACCAGTCTACATGTGCTTTGTGGACTTGGAGAAGGCTTTCGACCGGGTCCCTCGGGGGGTCTTGTGGGGGGTGCTGCGGGAGTATGGGGTGCCGGACCCGTTACAACGGGCGATCCGGTCTCTGTACGGCTGCAGTAGGAGCTGTGTCCGCATTCTCGGCAATAAGTCAGACACGTTCCCGGTGGGTGTTGGCCTCCGCCAGGGCTGCCCTTTGTCACCGGTCCTGTTTGTGATTTTCATGGACAGGATATCTAGGCGCAGCCTGGGGGCGGAGAACGTCAGTCTCGGGGGTCTCGGGATCGCTTCTCTGCTATTTGCAGATGATGTGGTCCTGTTAGCCTCCTCGGATTGTGACCTCCAGCATTCACTGGGGCGGTTTGCAGCCGAGTGTGAAGCGGCGGGGATGAGAGTTAGCACCTCCAAATCTGAGGCCATGGTTCTCTGCCGGAAACCGGTGGATTGCTCCCTCCAGGTGGGGACGGAGTGCCTACCTCAAGCGAAGGAGTTCAAGTATCTCGGGGTCTTGTTCACGAGTGAGGGTAAGATGGAGCGGGAGATCGACAGACGGATCGGTGCAGCTGCAGCAGTAAAGCAGGCGCTGCACCGGACCGTCTTGGTGAAGAGCTGAGCCGGAAGGCAAAGCTCTCAATTTACCACTCGGTCTACGTTCCTACTCTCACCTATGGTCACGAACTCTGGGTCGTGACCGAAAGGACAAGGTCGCGGCTACAAGCGGCCGAAATGAGTTTCCTCCGTAGGGTGGCCGGGCTCCATCTCATGGAACACGTTGTATTTTATTGTCTGTGGGAATAAACTTCTTTTGATTTCATTTTAGAATATTTGTAAGGAATTAAACTGTTTGTTCTTTACTTATATATGAAGTACAAGTACATGCTCCGTGCTGTCAGCTTCATTTATGGTTTAACTAAAGTACAAATCTAAAGTACAAGTGTTTGTTTCATATGAGTGTCGTGAATTGTACTGTCAGTGATATTCATCAGAGTGAATAAATGTGTTGTTTAAATAGCCCAGCATAGAACGACACACAGTATCCATTGTTTGCTTGCCTCTCCTCAGGAGCAAGTCATAATTATAGAGATGCATAAGAGCCATGAATTAACATTTCTATCTACAGATTTATATGGAAAATGTGTTCGGTTTGATTGTAAACCAGGGGTCTCAAACTAATTTTCACTCCGGGCCACATCAGCATCATGGTTGCCCACAAAGAGCCGGTTGTAAATGTAACTACTTGTAACATATTGGTAAATAACTCTCTGCATTTGATTATTGTTTATTCAAGTGTAAAAATATTGTACATGCAGTTATATAAATGTAAAAATATATTTAAGCACATTTCTGTTATTATAACTTAAATCCTTTTACTTTAGGGTTAAGAAACCCACATTACTCTATCAAAGATCTAACTATTAAAGAAAATAACAAAGACAAATATCAAACACAAGTTATTACATTAACTTTGTTCAAAGCTTAAAATCCTTTCAAGGGTGCGTTTGCACAATCCCACTTGAAGTATTTCATGTGTTTTAAAGCCACGTTTAAAGTATCTTCAATGCACTCGCAATCCATTTCAAGTGTACAGTAACCAGCCAAAGAGCTGCTTCTATGGCTGTGTGTTTAAGTATCTCATCATTTTGACTTTCTATCTCATAACTTCGACTTTCTATCTCATAATTTCGACTATGGGGATATTTTTATTATCAAGTCTAACTTTTTCTTTTTTTTTAAATGACGTGGTGGGCCGGATTCGGCCCGCGGGCCGGGAGTTTGAGACCCCTGTTGTAAACTATAAAAGTGAAGGGGCCGGATATGTCTGTTGGGGGCTGGATCACTATAAAGACAGATGATCAAACTTCTGCATCCTCAATACGCTGATTCATTAATGGACGGTTTCTCTCACTGTGCTTTTAAAGCTGAAAAACTCTGTTTATTAAACTTTGACCACTTAAAGCAAAAATGTGTTTTTTTTTTCATTGGCTGTGACAGTGCAGATGTCACACTGGGTCATAGTGCGGGCCTCTATCATCAATATGCATGGGGAAACACAGATACCAGACGGGCATGAGTGCTGCACATTTTGTTCTGCTTGTGTGTCTTATGTTAAATCCAGAGTAAACTCTTTTAATGCCACTAAACCCTGTCTAATTAATGCCTTTTACTTTCAATCAGTTATCAAGGTTATGTAACAAAGTAGGTCAATTGTGAATCAAAGAGATGAAGGTGAAACAAAGGGAGCAGGGAACATGAATGGGGACGATCCTGCAGCCATGATTCAGCTGCTGGTACCGTTTAGATCAAAGCTACAGGGAATACGAGGGTTTGGCGACAATTAAGACACAAATGAAAACCTTTCAGAGACGCACATATGAGTGCACACACAGACAAAGACAGAAATAAAATCACGGTCATATCCATCTCTTACCTGATTAAATGTACAAATGGCAAAAGCATGACTTGGAAAAACAGTGCATGAAGATTTTTTTTCCTTCAATGAATTGGGATTTTACAAGTGTAGTCTACCCAGTGGGAGTGGGGAAGGCAGCGTGTTCTCCGGCTCTAGCTGTTGTCACAACCGATGAAACCACATCAGAGCACATCATACAGGATTCATTAAGTTAGGACTGTTATGCAACACCGTCCCCAGCCACGGGCAGCCTGAGTGAGATAGACACACGCAAGCAGCCTCTGTGCTGACGCGAAGGAAACACAGAGGGGGAGAAAAAGAGATGGGGGCTGAGGGAGGGAAGAAAAGGGGGTTTAAAGGGAGAAAGTATTTTAAAGAGAGGGAAGCCAATGAGATGAGAGGAGGAAGAGGCGGCCTGTGTCATGGACCTTGTGAAGGTGAGAAAGTGGAGAAAGACAAGTGGAGTAGATGAGAAAGGGTTGCTAGATAGGCAGAGGATGGACAGCACCGTTTAATCTGGACACACACACACACACACAGTTCATCTCCCTCTGTGTATATCTAAAACAACTGCACAGAACATGTGTAAAAAGGGGTAATGACGCTCCGGACGGAGCAGACTGCAGTGGTAATGCGACTCACCACGTGCACATAGGTTGGACAGGGTGGGGAAGGAAGGGGGAGTGTATCTGTGTGTGCGACAGTGTGAGTCATTCAATCCAGCTATGCTCAAGAGCTTCCTCGACGGCCCGATCTCACAGAAATACATGAAATGACCACGACCTCTAAACGGCGAAGCAATTACACAGGAAACAATTCCGATGGAAAGTCAATTAGGATCCTTTGTCGTACACAAATTAAAACACATCCATGTGAATATGCAAAGCTCCGAGCTAGTGACGCAGTCTAGACAGTGAGTAAAACTACTTATGATGGAAGGGAGTGGAGGAGGATGGGTCAAACAAACACAGTTTCAAACTATCGACTTTCAACCAGGAGACCGGTGTTCGTGTCCCAAAGAGTTGTTGAGTTTTTGTGACGTTATGTTAGTGACGTGTTTATGTATTTC